ACTGAATTTTATGCCTGTTAGTTTTACGGAAAGCTGAAGGCAGTATTATGATTGATAATCTACACCATCCTCCCATGTGACAGCACCCAGAGAACATCTCCTCATCCTTCCTGTGCTAAGTTAAGCTTGTGTCCATGTGCAGCTGCACTGTGAAGGCTTTCAAAGGGCCAAAGCGCTGACTTCTTCAAACATCCCAAGGAGGCTTCATAGGTCAGACATGACAGGAAAGACAGACCCCCCTGCGCTTTCATGGGAATCAGTTTACGGGCAATATTTCACACTTGTATACATGAGGAAGGTCAATAAAAGTCAGCTGCATCTCCGGCAAACAGTGTGGATCTTGGTGGCAGGGAGGCTCTGGGAAACCTGAGCAGCTGGTTACACCATTTCCAGGACATGGCTGAAAAATGGATCCATAACTAAGGACTTGTTTGGCCTGCTGTGCAACACCTGTTAGCAAATAGCCTTGCTCCCAAGTGCCAGACACAAGCGCTCCAGACTACTCCTTGGTCGAGTTCACTAGGAGGCAGATGGGGGAAAACAATCATCACAGCAGGCTGAGTTCAAGACTGGAGAATTTTACAGAGGATGCTGCTGCAAGGGTGTTTTGCAGTCTCTACCCCTTTAGAGCCGGACTGTGAAAGGGAGTAAATCCAATCCAGGCCTTTGATGCTTTAGAGGGGGTGCAGGTTGAACACTGGCACCCAAGTCTACAACAGCAAACCTGCCAGCCCCTCCTCACCTGGCACCTAACTCTGGATGTGCCCAAACTCCACAGCAGCTTCCGTTTTTGTGTCAAAGTTCCCATGTGGGCTTGATGGGACTCAGCAGTTTGGCACCCATCACACACCTATGCCTGCTCAGGATGCAGACAGAAGCTACTCCTCTCCCAGTCGTCTCTAAGTCATGATGGCTCATAGGCATTTCAGACCAGATGCCAGGTGGTTGCACTGACAGCTGGGCATGAGGAGGGGCAGTAGCCCCTCCGTCTTCTTCTTTCACTTGCTTTGGGTGCCTTTTTCCAGGAGAAGCTTCATGGCCATGAATCCAAAATGAAGGGAAGCATGTGCCTCCAGCATGGCACTAGGTGGCCTTTGAGACAGGGCATAGGACCTCTCCTCTCCTTGGTCTTGCTACTAGCAAGTTTGGGGCAGGTCCCCATTCAGTGTGCTAGTCTCATAGGTGCCTAACTCTCCTTAGGAACTGTATAGGGAGCCCAAGCACCTCACTTGGGCATGAAGCCCCCACAAAGTGGAAGGTGGATGCCTACATGTATGAGGTTGCAAGACTGACCCAGCTTTGTAGATCTACCCCTGAGTGGCCAACACCACTCTCTAGCCCTGTGCATGAGGGAAGTGGTGGCAAGCAACTGGAACTGGTCCTGGTTTGTACATTTAGACCTTGACTCTAAACTGACTTTTTCAACATGGTTCAAACGTTGTGATACTTTTCGGGAGAAAGGTCAAGTAGTTTAAAAGCAGAAAGCTACAGCTGCATTACTCTAGTGACATTTAGAGCAGAGGGCACTGAAATAGCAATAATGTCCCTTTACACTTCCACTTAAAAAAGACAAAGCAGAAGAGAGAGCATCTCTCTCTCTAGGGCAGGTTCTCCCACCCTTGTTCATGCTGAAGACAACCTCACCTCCCTGATGTCCCTTTGAAGTCTGTGGTATTGAACGCTACAGAGCTGGTAGGAGTAACAGAGCCCAGGCTCCAGGTACCGCACTGGCTTTGTGAACACAATCCAAGCACTGATCCTGTCAGGTATCAAAATCCAGGTGCCATCCAGACAGAAGCGTCACCGAGGGGCTCCACTGTTAAGACTGTAGCGATAGGTGACCATGAAAACACAAACTGGTCCAGGAAGATAATGAGCTTCAGGAATAAAACCTCTTTTACATAATCATAGTGCCTTGCTCTTTTATCAGCATCAGTTAAGCCTAACCTACTCTTTGTAATGGGGTTCATATTTCATTCTTCACACGCATGGACAAGCTGATCAGAGCGAGGCTTGTATATACTACTCAAGGACACAATTATTATTTGGCATTCAAATATAGTACAAGACTCCACTGAGAAGCATTTAGTGAGCAACTTTGTGTTGTCTTTGATGGCACAAAGGCATGGCCTGGTTCGCTGCACGCAGCATAGCATGATTACTCCCCATAAACAACCATGGTTTTTTTAATTCCATATTGAGTCACTGGTCACAAGGGGCCATATTCTGGGCTCTGTTACAGCTGAGCAATACCAATCAATGGAGATCAATTGCTTTCCAACTCTTCTACTACCAATAGAGTAAATAAACTGAAAGGAAAAAAAAACTGCCCACCACCCTGTGGCTAGGAGCAAAGAACAGCTGGAATCCAGCTTCAACCAGCAGAAAGCCAGGAAAGACTCACCTCCTAACATCTGGTAATTTAGCTGTATGACCCTGAATGCAGAAGGCCCTACAGCCTGCGTCATCTGTTCCTCTCCGGTGAATAGCTGCCAGCACCCATCTACCCTGCGATCTGAGGTCTTTGTGCATGTAGATCTGAATAATCTTACCAAGAAAAAATGTCTGATACATACATACATACATACATACATGTCTGATACATACATACATACATCTAAGCATGTAACCACCCAGGGGAGTATTTGAAACATCCTTAAGCATGATGATGTGGCCCTGGGCAGTTGTAACTGGCAGGAGACAGACTTTTACAATGATAAAAGCCCAGAGAAAGTTGTCACTGGAAGGCAGCCAGACTACAGCGGACCAGAGGACAGAGAAGGGGAGCAGACTGAGGCAGGGGGGCACTAAACTGAAGCAGTGGAGAAGAGGGCTGTAGTTGGAGAGGTACGTGGGTCCAGAGGAGCAGGGCGGGCAATACAGGGCACAGAAGCATGCTTGCGTGTTGAAGGAAAGGTGGGGGGGAGGTGGGGACAGGGGACAGGGAAGGAGAAGCAGGGAGAAAAGTCAGAGGCGATGGGTCCACATGAGGGGTCAGGAATCAGACTCAGGAGCGCCATTCGCAGGGCCCCGGCCCAGGGTGGACAAGAGCAGACGACAGACTTGTGGGGAGTGTCTTGGGCTTCAGCTTCACCTTGGAGCTCTGCGATAAGCAAGCAGCAGACGGCCACCCCCGGGAACCTTTGCAGCCTGGTCCCAAGCCCCATCTAATCACCAGGTTTGCCATTCCCAGGCTCGCTGGCCACATCCCAGTGGAGGGATGACTTAACCCTTCAATGCACATCACTGCACAGGGCTGGGGAAGCACGTTACGTGAAACAGTAACACGCAGGTCTTGGCTGGTCAGAGCAAGCCTTCGAGGGGCCACAGTAAGGATCTGTGCTGAGACTGCTTGGACTAAACATCCCTCTCGCCTTTGAGAAGCAACATCTCCCCACTCCTTCAAAGTCCACTGCTGGCCATTACAGTAGTGTGTGGACATCCATTATCCCTGCAGGACTATACCTTGTCCGGGTCTAGGTCATCATCCAAGAAGCATGTCTAGCTCCTTGAACACGCTCAGTGTGTCACCCTGCTCCTGGGCTGTGGGCATGGACGGTATCGCTGCTGTGTGAACTGCAGCATGCTGAGGCAATCTGGAAGGGGGCAGCCCAGACCTTTGCCTTTGAAAGACGGGGGGTGAGTTTCAGATGAGATGAACGGAGCGCCAGGCAGGTCAATCTGCGAGGCAAGGCCCCATGGTGAGGGGCTCGGGGGTGGTTCTTTGGTTAAAATACTCACTTTTCCTCTTTGCTAAGTAACATGAATCCCATCCCTGTCAAGTCCCATGGTGGCCACATTTCAGAGAAGCCAGGCTGTCCGCTACCCTCCAGGGAGGAGCAATGCTCTAGCTCATCGATTTTCCATAGCAAAGGCATGCCTCTTTTCTCAAGAAACACCCAGCGGGCCATGTTTGCCGAATGATAACTTGCCAAGGTTAGGACCGAGGCTTTATCTCATGGTGATGTGGCTTTCCTGGCTTCGGGTCAAGCTAGTTTTGCACTATAAATACCGTGAGGTTGCCTTCGTTGAGCCTGCAATTCAAGCCACCATGTTCAGGTTTGTGTGCCTCATCCTGCTCCTGGGCTATGGCTATGGTAAGTGTTTCATATGTGGTGTCTGTGCTGTTTGGTTGAGAGTACCCAACTCAGGGGGACCTGGGGAGAGCGGAGGTACTAAAAGGGTATGATACGGCCATGTGAGAGCCCTGGAGATGAAGTGCGTTCACCGTCAGAGCCCAGGAAAGTGGCAAGGTCAGCTTCCTACCGTTGTGCTGATCTCTGCTTCAGTGCAAACTCCTGCAAGATGAGAATTTGGTCACTGGGCAATTAGGCTCTGGCCTCTGCCTCTGAATGGCCATCTAGGTGAGAGATGGGCACCTAGAATACCCTGCTTTGAGAAGGGCCACCCCTTATATTCTGTTATTCAGCCTTGGCTGGGATGATATAGTTGTGGATGGCCCTGCTTTGAGAGAAGGGCCACCCCTTATATTCATCCCAGCCAAGGCTGTATTCTAGCCAAATCATACCGATCTCCAGGGATGGAGACTCCACCACCTCTCTGGGTAACCTGTTCCAGTGCTTTACTACCCTCCTAGTGAGAAAGTTTTTCCTAGCAGTTAAGTCTGAGAAGCTAACTTGTGTGGGTGATTTTTGTTCTTCCCCCCTGCAGTCTATTGTGTACACACACGTACCCTCTCAGCCTGGGTTAGTGTGGTGCACCCCACCATGCTTCTGGGAGCATCCCATTTTGGGTTGTCCACTGCAGCTCCGACAGATGAAGGGTTCACCTTCCGTATAGTCAGGCTGAAGAACAGAGGGGTGGAAAAGAAATCTCACTAGGGAACTGCCATTCCTGGGGTACTCCTTACTCTTCCTAATGGGCTGCTAATTAGACAAGGGACAGGATGCAAGTAAAATTTTACAGTACCTTTGCCATGCTCATCTCTTATTCACTGTTGCATTTCCCAGCCCAAAGTTGTGGCCATCCTTACTTCCCACCTCTCGTCTCCCGAGTAGTAGGGGGTGAAGACACCAGACCCCACAGCTGGCCTTGGCAGGTGAGGATACAGTGTTTTTGTTGCACAAGTGGGTTCTTCTAGCTTTGCCATTGGGAGCACACGGCAAAACCCAGCTAATGTCCTCCTGTCTTTGCATTGCAGATCTCCCTCCAATACAGCAGAAATGGAGCCTGGCGTCACACATGTGGGGGGACCCTCATTGCTACCAACTGGGTCCTGACGGCAGCTCACTGCATCAGGTACAGGAGAAATCAAAGTGGGAGGGACACGGCAGATCCTCCATGGCCACAAATTAGGAGCTGAGATCGTTTAGGAAGAAAACCAAGAGCTCTTAAGGAAAAAGCGAGAGAGTCCTGCCTCTTAGTGCAGAGGAGCAGCCCTGGTTAATGAACTGGGGAAGAAAAGAGGGGAAAAGAGCAAGACTTGCCATCTCATCAGTTGAGGATGGGTTGGGTTTAGTCCTCCCCTCCTGGCTGGCCCTCAGGAAAGAAAACAGCCTTCTACTGCAGCCTGCTTATGAATTAGCACATTACACTTCACTGATGGCCTTATCTCCGCGTGGTAGCTCATTTGACACCAGCAAGGTAAGTGAGGGTCTCAGGAAAATCAAGGTACTTGCCAGCATACCCACGTCTTCTCCTGCTCTGTTTGTTCATGCAGCAAAAGCAACACCTACAGAGTTGTTCTGGGGAAACAGAACCTGAAACAAGAGGAACTTGGTGCTGTGACTGTTGGTGTAGAGAAGATCATTGTCCACGAGAGATGGATCTCCCTACTTGTCATGTAAATCTACTGGTTCCTAATATGCAAGGATGGGGGTGGGTGGGATCTGCAGCCTTGTACTGATCAATCCTATCTGCAAAGCTTCCATCAAATCAGCCTGGTTTCTTCCCAGAACCTAAAAAATGCTCTGAAAATTGCAACAGGGGAAGTTGCTCTTTGGAAAGGCCAGTCTTGTTTGAAATGATTGCTGTGTGCCGTCAGCAGTCAGCAATTTTTCCCCACTTACCAAGACACACTGCCCCCCCGGGCCAGATCCGACCCAGAGTCGTGCCCCATGTTTCTTTAGGTGGGGTAAAGAGGGAGCGACATCAGTTGAAGGGAAGGTGCTGAGGTCACAGATCCTGTGCAAAAACCACCTGCGATTTCCAGCTGAGTTTACCCCTTGTTCCCAATTCCAATGTGTGTTTCAGCAACGACATTGCCCTGATCAAACTAGCTGAGCACGTGGTACCGAGTGAAACGATCCAGCCTGCCTGCCTGCCACCAGCAGGCGAGCTTCTGCCCCAAGGCTTCCCCTGCTATGTCACTGGATGGGGACGGCTCTCAAGTAAGTAGAGCAGCTTGTCCTAGAGCCATGCCTTCCAGCACCTACTACACGCCCTAACACCAATGCTTTGGGGACGGCTAGTGCAGGGTCCGTGTTTGAATAGTGAGACTGGCTCTGCCAGTCCATTGCTCCCATGGGGACACGCTGTGGCTGCTGCCCACTCACAATGCAGAGACTTGGGGCAGTCAAGATTACGTGAGGGGTTAGAGTAGGCACCGGCTGGTGCAGGACTGCTCTGGGCAACAGGAATTGGTGCGGGGGGCCAAACACACAGCGGGTCCTGTTTGCTAGTGCAAAGAAGACACAACACCTGATTCATCTCCTGAACCACACTCCCCAGTTGGCTGTTTGCCACATGCATGGGTGCCAGATCAGCTCTCGAGACCACAGAGGAGAGCTAAGATACCCCAGGAGCTGAGGATGGGGAAGATTTCAGGGGAATTAACTAGTCTTCCTGCTTGAAATGAAAGGACTTCCCCTGCATTACCTCCCAGAGCTTTTCTAGTCTCACCTTCCCATTGGCAGCTTAAAAAATTAACCTTTTTCCACTTTCTTCCTATTGCTCCTTTGGCCGCCATGAGGGATTCTCCCCTGGGCCTTGCTGCGTGTGCCCTTCATGCACTGCTATCTCCTCCCATCAGGAATAACTAGTGACCTGCTCCGTCCATGGAGCAGTGTGGTCTAGAAGAGAAAGCAAAAATTCGTGTGACCTGTGTTCTCCCAGTCCTGTCGCAGGGGCTGTTGGATGATTGTTGGAGGCTTCGCTTCTCTCTGCTTCATTTAACCCACATGTCAGACAGAGGTCAGGATACCAGCTTCCTATTTAAAGCACTCTTAGATGGAAGCCCTATATAGGGTCTGGCTATTATCACTCTGACATCACATCCCCGAGGTCGTAGGTGGTTCTGACTTTGCCAGTCACCTGTATTGGATGCTCCTCACGGCTCTCTTCTTTGTGATCCCGTTTTGCAGCCAACGGTCCCATCTCTGATGACCTCCAGCAGGCACTTCTGCCCATCGTGGATTATGCCACATGTTCTCAGCCAGCCTGGTGGGGCAGTATGGTCAGGAAGACCATGGTCTGTGCAGGAGGAGATGGAGTCACTTCTGCGTGTAACGTAAGTCTTCCCTGCCTGGTTGGTAGTGCTACTGTGTGCATTGTCTGATCATCACCCTTGATGGCAAGTGAATGAACCCATAGCAGGGAATGGAGGCACACCACATGGGCTTTTATTCTCACGCCTGAAAATCAGTGACTCCCTTGTATGTAGACTCCCTCACTGTGAAGACACAACAAAACAGGACTTCCTGATTTAAAAAGGAGAGTTAATTTGTTTTTTTTTAAATTTAGAGTTTTGATTAAAACATATGGTAAAACTTCATCGTCAGAGATGTTCAGCGCCACCAGCAACTGAGCAGCAGCAGTGAGGAGGCCCTGGCCTCTTCTACGTGTGGTAGCAAACTGAATATTTTCATGGCCTTAGTTTAGTAAAGGGCTGAAAACTGAGTTTGGCTCTTGAGGTTCAGTCTCCAGCAAGGATGCTGTCATCTCTGCACCAAGGGGCAGCTTCTTGTGGAGCAAGAGTGCTTTTAGACTAGAGCCTTTTGCTGTGTGCCGGCTTCATTCAAGATCCCAGAACAGTCTTCTTAAGAATTTGGGGTTCTGCTCTTCTCACTGCTCAGCACCACGATCTAAACTGGAGTGGCTGCTATTCTGGGGCAAGTGATGCCTGAAGTTTAGATGACGTTCAGGGCACCAGGGCCATGCACTATGCCCAAGGAGCTAGACAAAGAAGTCACACATGCTATCATAGTCGTCCCAGCAGAAAGCCAGCCGTGCCTCGTCCATCAGCCAGAAGGCCTGTTACCATCCTGAAGGGCTATGTATTTTGTGTTGTGTCAGGGTGACTCTGGAGGCCCACTGAACTGCTATCACGGTGACGTATGGCAGGTGTTTGGCATTGTGAGCTTTGGGTCTGCTGAGGGCTGCAACACGCTGAACAAGCCGACTGTCTTCACTCGGGTGTCCGCCTACATCGACTGGATACACAAGGTGGGTGTTGGCATGTTAGAGCAGAGCTCTGGGGGCTCAGTTTGGTTTCTGACCTTGGATTAAGCAGCACTTGGGTGCTTTATGTTTAAGTAACAACAACCCAGTTTATCCATCCCAGACCATCCATCTCTAGCTCCCTCTTCACGTGGTTCTAGATGGCTAAGACAGAGATCGGGGCTGGAGCCCCTCCTGCTTCATGAGAGTTTGTGGGTCATCCTAACACAGCAAACCTGCTGTATACACTGATGAGGCTGGCAAGAGATGGGCCCTTAGGTCCTTACTTTAGGAGCCAAAGTCATACTCTGGAGTAAGAGCACTGCACTGCATACCAAGCAGCATCCATAGCTTTTGGAGGAACGTTAGGGAAAGTCACCAGCTGCTTGGCACCTTTGAAAATCAAGTAATTTATTTAGGCTCCAAAGTCAGGGCCCAATCTTTAGCCCTTCCAGCATCGCAAGCTGGTTGGCTCAGGCTCATTAAGAGGCCTAGTTCCATTCCTTGAGCATAGGAGAGCAATGGACCTCACTTCACCAGAAACCAATGGCTCTAATTTTGCAGGAAGATGTAGTTTCAGAAAAAAATAACTAACCCCCTTTTTTCTTTTTATCCTGTCCACCAGACAATGGCTGCAAACTGAGGAGTCCAGCTCATGACACTGTCTGTAATCCCATAAAACCCTAATAAACCTTCTCATCATCATTTTCCCTGGCTCAATGATTGTTTGAAGTGCATCCGACACATTTCTGTGTGCTATTGACTTCATCTGAGTTACTGATTCACTCCAGGTGGAAACTAGTCTCCTTACACCTTCCCCTTCTCATTAGAATAATCCAGGGGCAATACTTTCATACTAAATACAGGACTTAGGCAGAATTAACAACAAGAATGTGTCAGAGGAGCAGAAAAGCAATCCAGGACATTCCTACACACATAAAAGAAAACAATTATGTTACACTGACTTCATCACGATGCAGATACTTTATACATTAACTGCATCTCACTCCTGAAGCACCCTAAATCAGTGTTTTTGTCAACTGTGCAAGACCCAGCTTGGTTCTCCCATCTCACTGACTAGTAACTTCAGGCCCAGTTCAAAGAAGGGCTCCTCTTGGTGACTTGAGGTTCACAAGGAGACGGACACTTGAGAAGGGAACATTTTGCAGTACAGGCCATCTACCCACCTCCCCTGTCCCCTCTCCTCTGCATGCATAAACTGGCCATGTCAAATGATGTGGAAGGATGACCTAGCTAGGTTAGAAACCTCACCTGTTAGCCAGCAGGGATACAAGCATTTCATTTGAGCATGCTAGTAAAACATCCAACGCCCATCACCTGTTACACATACAGAAATATTGGCTGCCACCTGCCAGCCAACTGGGTCATCCCAGAGCCCTCAGATCAATGGCTCTGAGCTATCTGGAGGTTTTGCCTCTCTGTATTTCAACAGTCCTCTGAACTGGGGTGTTTTTTTTTAAACCAGACTCATGACAACCTTGGGTACAGTGCACAGCTTGGACACAAGAGAGAACAACCAAGTGCAACGTGTGCTGGAGAAGGATCTAGGACAGGGCTGTGTCATGGGGGAGGCTGACCTCACGTGCTGATGTTGCAGACGGGGTTAGTTCAACTCAGACAATGTATTGCAGCATGGTTCCCCTTGATCAGAAGATTTCACTTAGTTTCCCTCCAGGGAGGAGGGTTGAGCCTACAATTCAGGTCTGCAATGCCCTGGTATTATAGTGATGGGGGTCACGATTAGAGAGAAAGATTCCCCTAAGAACCCATCGATTATTGGACGAGTTCTTAACTCAGACAAGAAGCTGTCTTTCTTGCTGTTATTACATGTCTAGCACCAACAGTATGTGAAATGTGGCAGGGTTGCTGGTGGAGGATGACCAGTTAACTACCGGCTCCAAAGAAATGCTGTTCTTTTTACCACCTCAAGGCACAAAAAACTTCTCAGAGGGCACGTCTACACATGCATTCATGCACAGTGGTTACTGTGCGTTACGTTTAGTGCCTGTAATAACAGGTACTAACTAAATGTGCAGTAATCGGGGCTACTGCACAGTCGTGTCAGTGCACACTTTTTAAGCGACACTAATGCACAGCAGACTAATTTTACTGCCCATTGGTGCAATAGCACAGCTTCCACTGTGATGTGCTAATGCACGGTGAAATTAGTTTACCGGGTATTTAGTGTCTCATGTAGCTGTGCCCAGGGATGAGGAAAAGAAGGGGCAGATTGTAAAAAAGTGGCTTAGACATTCATTGCCATGGAAATGGTTTGGGAAAAAACAAAGATGCTTAATGAGGAGAAAAGCAGCTGCATGTTTTGAGGGTTCCTGGAAGTGGCACAGGCACATGTCTGCCATCTAAGAATGGCCTTTTAATTGCAGTCCCAATTTACTCAAATAAATTCATACCCACTCAACGCTGCTGCTAATGCAATAATGCCTAGTAAAGAGTTGGCTGCGCTAGCACTGGCAGCATCATTTCTGGCCTTCCAAAGACCTGGTGCTCAGTGAATGTGACAAGCCTGTTATTTGTTATCAAGTAAAAAACTCAGCACAGAATGAAATGGGGGAAGTTTTGCTTCTGCAGCCCTCTCACTGAACCGTCTGATTCAAATACTTCTTCCAAAGCTTAATGCAGCTGTCCATGCAGCACTAGGTTAGAAACCTCACCCGTTAGCCAGCAGGGATACGAGCTGGAAAAGACAGTGGGTCACTTCTCTCACTGTCTCCAGTTGAAATTTGAAGCAGAACTGGTGAAAAAGGGCAATTTCTGGCTGGGAAGAAATTTCAGCATTCTGCCTTTTATTCTGATTCACCCACCCCCTCCTGCCACGCCATATGGATTTTAAATTTCTCCTGAACCAGGATTTCCAAAAAGAGTCTACTGGTTTTTGCAGAACACTTTGGAAGTTTGCTTTTTTTTAATTTTTTTTTATTATTATTTGCTACTTTTAAACAGTTTCTATTATATTTCCGTTGGTTCATGAAACAAGAGAAGTTGCCCTAATGTTCCTACAGACATACAATGGGTTCTTTCGTTACATTAATTTAATGTCTTCTTATTTTAGAGCCTATTAAGAACACCTGCTACTTAGTACAGCCTGAAATATCAGCTCTTCTTTTCAAGGATGAAGCATTTCCAGTTGGTGTATTTAAAGAAAAAAAAAGGTTGGCGTGTTTACACACACACATTACCCTAGAAAAGTAGGTAAGGCATTTCCACTGGTACTAAGTAGCAGCTGTTCTTTGTTGTTTATAAAAATAATAGCCTGTTTCAAGCAGTCTGTGGTGTATTATGCTACATCAGGCTGCATATTAGGTCCTGTTATTACTGATGTGTCATTTAACAGAGTATAAATAATGCAACCAATAATACATTTTCCCTGCCAATAAACATTAGTCAACAGGATTCAAGCTAGCAAGAAAGCAAGCAACTGTGCCAAGTGACATCCAGCTCCCTCAGTGCTTCCCGGGAAAAGGACAGTCCCTCTAAAGCAGGGGTTGGCAACATTTTTGGGCAGTGCCAACAACACCTGCAACCTTGACTTGTTGATGTGCCAGGGGCGGAAAGCAAAGGAGCCTCAAGGGGCCCAATCCTTATTATAGCCCCCCCCTAACATCTATGAATGTATAAATCACCTTTGTCCCATTTGATACTTGGCATCCCTCACCCGTGTCCCATCAGCTGTTCTCAGGTGCAGCTGGAAGACTGTGGTGCTTTCAGGGAGAGGTCGGAAATGAAGCAGGTGCACCCAGCAGCCGCCACTGAAACCATGCAGCATAGCAGATGAATTTCCTGCACGTTGTGAAGCATCCCAGTGTCAGCAGCAGTGAAGAACTAGGGGATACTTCTTGTAAACATCTCCTTCATTAGTAAGGATGGGTGAGGTTAATGAGGAATACTGAACCTCAGATTGTGATCTACATCCATCACTGCCTAGCACTGTGCAGAGAACAGGGTTCAAGATAACGGGTTTGATGATGCGTGTACAAAAGCCATCTCATTACCTAAGCCCAGAAGAAATGAGAAGAGCAGGTATTGGGATAACTCATGGGAAAGTGAAAGATCTGGCCAGTCAGTGCCACTTTTGACTTGAAACAGCTAGACAGGGGGAGGAAGTGGTGAAGGAAGGGTGAGCAGCTAGAAATGTCATGGGCTGGAGAGGAGCTGTAGAGCTGTCCAGCAGAGGAAAGGAAAAAGCAAGACCCTAGACTTCTCCAGCACCAAGCCTTGGGTTGGAGGTTGCCAACTCTGGAGACCACAATCACAAAGTTATGCTATATCAAAACAGCTATCAAAATCATGTGGCATCAAAACAGATCCCAGCCTGCTCTCCAGAACCTCTCAGAGGGGATGGACATTTCAAGTACAGCAAGTTCAAGGGTCTAACAAATTCAAGGTCTAACATGTATGTGCACAACCTGGAAGTGCCACCAATACAGAAAAGTTGCTCCAGTTTCCATGCTGCTTCATCCAGGGTTAGAGTTGCAGCAGTTTTGCTGCACTGGAACAGTCCCCAGCTGATACAGGACTGTTAGAACGTAAAAGCTGCTGTGTGGTTTGGAGCAAAAGTTCCTCCTTCCCCCTTGAAATGGCTTCAAATCAATGTTTGTCCATAGCTTAAGATGCTCTCAGGCTACTGGCCATCCCTCTGCAGAGGCACAGCCACCTCCATGCTGGAACAACCCAAATGTTCAGCAGCTGACAGCTGCACAATACAGGAGGGTGCAAAGAAGAGTCCTGCAAGTACAATAGGGCCATGTGCTCCTGCTAACAGCACCAAGCGAATGTAGCAATCATGAATGACCTGGACTTCAGCTTCACCTTCAAACTGTGAGATAACCATGCAACAGGTGCCTTTTCCCAGGAACAGTTACACGTAACCAACCTCAGGTTCCAGCTAATCACCAGGTTTGAAACTCCCAGGACACCTAAACCCTTTGCTTTCCAAAGAGGGCTGAATTAAGCTCGGTAACATTTCACTCTGCACAGGTCCTACCTGATCAGTATGCATGTTTGAGGTGTCATGGTAAAGGTTTGCTTGGAGGTGCCTCATGGAAAAAAATATTCCTATCTTCCCCTTGAGGAACATCATTATTCCCAGCCCTTTCAATTCCACTGGCGGCCCCATTACAAGAACGTGTGGATGGAATTATCCCTCCAGATCTAAATTGTTCTAGGTAATCAATTTTGAAAAGGAGAAACATCTCCGTTTCCTCAAGAACACCAGTGCATCATGTTTGCTGAATAATAACTTGCCAAGGTTAGGACCGAGGCTTTATCTCACAGCAATGTTTTCCATTGCAACCATCCCTGTGCTCCTGGCTTTGGGTCAAGCTAGTTTTGCAGCATAAATACTGTGCAGTCGCCTTTGTTCAGCTTACAACACCAGTCACCATGCTCCAGTTCATGTGCCTCACCCTGCTCCTGGGCTATGGTAAGTCTTTCATGGACAATGTCTGCACTGTTTGAATAGGAGCGTTCTGAAAAGAGGAAAAGGGCAGTCTGGGAAGTCTGGGGAATGAGGAGGCATGAACTCAAGTTTTTGCTTCCAGATGACAGTACTGGAGGCTGTTCCATCTGCACAGGCAATGCTACCCTCTGGATGCATCTACATGAGATGCTTTATTGCGCATTAGACAAATCTAATGCGCAGTAAAGCATCACCATCTACACATGTGCAGCAATTACTGCACAGTATATTAGTCTAAGGCACCATTTTCAAGTACCTGTAGATACAGGTACTAGAAAAAACAGTGCATTAACTGATACACTGTACCACATGAGTACACACTGATGGGGACCAAACTACTCCTGATCAGCCTAGGCAGCAGGGGGCCAGAGGGGGTGCCGGCTCAGTGGGACGCTGCCTGCCAGCCACATAGAGATCAGGATCTATCTATCTGTCCTGATCTCTGTGTAGCTGAGAGGCAGCTGCCCAGCAGCTGGGACAGCTTTCCTAACCACACAGAGATCAGGATGGGTCCCATCTCCATGTGGCTGAGAGGCAGCTGCCAGTCAAGCCAGGACACTCCCCGCTACTCTCTGGAGCTTGGGGCTAAGCCCCCATACCTCCTGCTAGCCCAGAGGCACCTGGGGAAACTTGGAGCTCCCCTGGCTACTGCAGGGGGGCAGAGCAGGGCAGGAACAGCCTTGGAGTGGGCTGCTCCTGGCTGGCTCAATTTGTTCCCGATAAGGGCGCATGTGTAGATGTGTGCCAGGGAGTGCTTTAATAAGCCTGAATTTTCTGTGCAGCAAATTCAGGCACATTAACTGAGTGTGTAGACGCACTCCGTGTGAAGCAGAAATTCATTTGCCATGGCCCATTCAGAGCTTGGCCTCTCCAGTCAGTACCAGGTGCCACATGGGTCCTTAGCATTAGATGGCTGATTTTGAGAAGCAAACTTAGAATCATAGAAAATGAGGGTTGGAAGGGACCTTAGGGAGTCATGTAGTCCAACCCAAAACTTGTGGGGATCCATCACAGCACACTGTATGCACGTGACAGACTCTACCCCCAACCTAACAGTTGTATATCTTGCACCTCTCTAATCAAACTGGCATAGGCCCAGCCCACCAGTGTGTCATTTATAGTACTTTCACAATGCTCATTTCTTCTTTGTGATACATTCCCCAGCCTACGGTTGTGGCAAGCCTTACTATGAGCCTAACATCGCCCGGGTGGTAGGAGGCGAAGATGCCAGACCCCACAGCTGGCCTTGGCAGGTAAAGAAACAGCGTTATCCCTGCATGAGACTGGTTCTTAGGCTTTGCCTTTGGGAACACAGGTTAAAGTCCAGCTAATCTCCTTACATCTTTGAATTCCAGATTTCCCTCCAGTATGACAAGAACGGAGTCTGGGCTCACACATGTGGTGGGACTCTCATTGCTACCAACTGGGTCTTGACTGCAGCCCACTGCATCAGGTAACCAAAGCAGAGAAGAGCCCAGGAAATTCAACAGTACAAAACTGAAGCTGAAATCTCATTAGAAAACCAAGCCTAGAGCCCTTCAGAGAGGATTCAGAAAGTTTGGCCTTTTTTTTTTTGACAGCCTCCTGGAAATAGGTGGCGAGGCCAAAGAGCGCAATTGTGATCGGATGGTAGAAACAGCCTCCTGCTATGAACTAACAGAGCTGCTTTGTTAAACTTTTGTCAGTGGCCCCATGGAGCTGGGTTTAGACCTTGAAGTGTAGGAGGAACGTGGAGGAAATCAAGAGCCTTGTAAGTGTGTCCATGTTTTCTTCTGCTCTGTCGGTTCACAGCAACAGCAGAAAGTACCAAGTCGTCTTGGGGAAACAGAACCTGAAGGAAGAAGAGGCCGGCTCCGTGGCTGCTGGTGTGGAAAAGATCATCGTCCATGAGAAGTGGAACTCTATCCAGATCATGTAAATCACCTGATCCTAAAGCACCAGGGAAGTGGGCGGGAGGTGGACCTGTAGCGCCTCCTCTTTCTTGACCCTATGTACAAGGCCTGGATCTGATCCACCAGCTCTGGCTTTAGGTTCTTTGTTTGACCCATAAACCCACGCCGATTAAAGTCCGGTTCTGAAAACTGGACTAGGGAAAGCTGCCATGTGGAAAGACACAGCTATCTGAGAAATGACTGAAAAGAAGCATGATCTAGGCACTGATCTACATTTTTGCCTCTCCCCGGTCTTTCCAAGCTAGCTTTGTCTCGGATCCAGGCTGCCTGTTTCCTTAGGGTAATGACTCAGTGCCGTGATCTCCTTTTAACTGTGCCACAGGTTATCAGCACCATTAGGCAGGAAACACCTACATGTGATTCACAAGATAAACTCCAAATACAGTAGGAATCCACAGTGGCCGAAACAGTCGGACCTGCTGCGGGCTTTCTGAGTTTTTTTGCGACAGATGAATTTCTTTATTCTATTTCCATAGTCAAGAAACGAGGGAAAGCCAAGAGCTGGCCTTTTCCAAGGACAGCCTAGAGTTTAATGGGCACCTTGAGACTAAACAGGTTGAAAAACCACTGTCTTAGGGAATCGGGAGGGAGAACAAAGGGTCATGTCATAGTGAATCCCACAGTGAATGGGATCTGACTCTCTGTTTATTGGTGACGAATGCAATGCAATGTCCCAGGCTTGGGACTGGATGATTTTTCTTAACCTCCCCCTTTCCCCTTTGTGTTTCAGCAATGACATTGCCCTGATCAAACTAGCTGAGCACGTGGTACCGAGCAAAACAATCCAGCCTGCCTGCCTGCCGCCAGCGGGCGAGATACTGCCCCAAGGCTTCCCCTGCTATGTCACTGGATGGGGGCGTCTCTGGAGTAAGTACGGCAGCCTCTGTGCGAGCTGTGTTTGTCTCTTGTGCCTTTTCTATATTGCCATCTTGTCTAATTGCCATTAGCCGGTCCACGTGATGTTCCCTTGAGGGAGTGTAGCCTAATGGAGGGAACAATGATCAGGACTCAGGAGATAGTGACTCTGTTCCTGTCTCTGCCACTGATCTGCAGAATGTCCCTGCCAAGTCCCTTCCTCTTTCCGTGACTTGCTTTTCCCACTTGTAAAAGGCAAGTCTTGATCAACCTCCTCTGTACAGCACTCGGAGCTCTCCCTAGAAAGAGCACCACATAAGAGCTAAGACTGTAGGATATGACCTCACACATCTCAAGACATCTTCCAAGTGTGCCATTCACCTGTGTAAAACCCTCCTGATGGACCCTCTCCTCCATTTTACAGCCAACGGCCCCGTTGCTGACATCCTCCAGCAGGCCTTGCTGCCCATCGTGGACCATGCCACGTGCACTCTGCCAGACTGGTGGGGCAGCACCGTCAAGACAACTATGGTCTGTACAGGAGGAGATGGAGTCGTTTCTGGGTGTAACGTAAGTGCCGTGAGGAAGGTGGGCAGTAACACTGCGCTTCTCACTGCTGTCCAGGGATGGTGATCCAGGGAGAGGGTGGGAACTAGGGAAGGTGCTGGAGGGCTCACACTGGGGAGCTGGTGAATCTGTAGTCTCACTATGAACAGTCAAACAAAGGAGTCCTCCAACTTAGGAAATAATTGGCTTTGGAGAACTCACGGCCTACTCCCTCATTGCAGTGAGATACGGGGAATAATCCACAGTCTAAACTATGCAGAGTGAGATTCAGCACCTCTGGCATCTCCAGACAAGATGAAAGGGTGAGAGCTTAGGGGAAAGCTGAAGAGCTTCAAGCTGGGGTGCAGGCACTTTGGGACTGAGACCATGGGCTGCTCTCAGCTGGACACAAGGGGATGAAGAGGTCCAGGGCACTAGGGAAAGAAAGGAGTAAATGTTCCTGTATCCTGTGCTGTACCAAACCCATCACTCTAGAAAGCCCGGTCCACGAGCGAGGACTGTTACTGCACTAAAGGGCTGCACATTTTATATGCAGGGGGATTCTGGAGGCCCCTTGAATTGCCATCCTGGTGACAGGTGGGAGGTGTCCGGCATCGTGAGCTTTGGATCTGGTTGGGGCTGCAACATTCTTAAGAAGCCGACTGTCTTCACACGTGTGTCTGCCTACATTGAGTGGATAAACGAGGTTGGTGTCTGTATGCTAAAGCAAAGCTCTGGCTGTTGAACACCGAGTGGTTTATAGTTTCGTATGGAAAAGCACACCCAGTTTATCCATCCCAGACCTGCCGGCCCTTGGCTTCCCTTTTCTTTCCTTCCAGATGCCTTCCTTAGGGCTCTAGGCCAGAGCTCCGGGTATGAAGGAATTAGGGAAGGGGTCAGTGATCACTCTGGGGAAGTTGGTATCAAGATTTGAGCTTGGCAGCAGCTCTGGCTCTCATATCTGTGCCCCACACACTCTTGCTGCCAACCTACAAACACCGAGGTTTCAATTTACCCCTGTAAATGATTTAAAAAACAAGTACTAAAACTAAGACACCCAAGTGCTCACTTAAACACCAAATGAAGTGTCGTGACTCTCAAGAGCATTGACGGCTCAAGTTCTCGTGTCATTGCTTTGTATCAAACCATGCCTAGAGCAGGTTAAGAACCACTACAGGCTGAGTGGCGGTGAAAGGGCAGGAAGGATTTTAGGGATTATATTTGGAAAAGGGATACAGATGATGCAATATGTAACATCGAATGCAGCTGGAGAGTCTCTGTTGGTGACAATGCACTTCGGTTCTCATTAAGCAATGGGGGAAGGAAATGGGGAACAGCAAGAGAAGGGCCTAAGCCACTAAGCGTGGACTTAGATCTGGCTTCTAGACCTTTCCCAACACTGCAGGACATTTGGATCATGCTCATCAACAGACTTTGGTGCACCCCTTGAGCACAGGAGAGCTCCAGATGCATCCAAAAAGTGTGTTTGCAATGGGAACTCCACGGGGACTGTTTATTTTCTGTTACTGAGAAAATGTGGTTTATGAAAAATAATTAACATTCTGCTCTTTTTATCCCCTCCAACAGAAAATGGCTCAAAACTGAGGAGTCTGGTTCACAACATTGTGTGTAATCTCATGAAAGCCTAATAAACCTCATTATCATCTTCCTTGGCTCTAACTGGTGCTGGAAGTGTGTCTGACACCATGCTACTCGCTAGCACCATCAAAACAGATTTAAAAAAAAAAAGTGGCTTAGATTTTCAAAGATACTTCAGTGCCCAGCTCTCACTGATTTCAGCAGGCCTTTGTGCCTAGTTAGGTAGCACAGCCTGCCTCCTGGTCTCTGGTTTGAAGAACCCACTGTTCCTCTTTATATAGTTCAGTTCAGGATTCAGGCAGAAGCAAAATAAGGGGGAGAGAAACAAGCAAGGATGCTCCGTCACATCAGCAATCCTGCCCTCAGGCTTGGTCTCTGGGGGATGCAAAAATCAAAGGATCTCCTGCTTCACTAGCCTGTAACTTCAGGCCCCAGAAATAATCTTTCTATTCAGCACAGTGCAGCACGTTCACCAGCTTGCCTTGTGACATGTGCTTGCTAAACTGCATCTTCGTGTCCTGGGGTCTCCATCTGGCACCCAAACAAAGGAAGCTGGTGGTTACAAGCTGGGATAAAAGGTGGTGACAAAGGCGCTGTTCTGCGCTGGAGTCAAAGTCTGCTCCTTCCTTTCACTCCTGTGTTTAAAAGAGCCATGTGATTGTCCCCGGGGAGTCCAGATAAGCTGCAAGTACAGCAACAAGGGGAAACGTGTCCAACCAGCCATGCTGACGCCCCTATTACTGCCCGCGGTTGGGTGTAACTCCAGCACACCTTTGGAAATGCTCCAGGGCAACTACTGCAGCCGCAAAGATGTAGTAACCATGCCTTGGCTGCGCACGTCTCTGACAGAGGCAATGGCTGGGATTAACACAGTCCCACATCTGCCAGATCCCAGCCCCCGTCTTGCCTTAGCCATCCGCTGCCGGGCACTCACCTAGGCGAACACATACAGACCAGACAATTCTCTGGTGGGCTTCAAGAGCCCCGTCTCACTCCCACCCCAGGCTTCAGTCCACTCTTTCTGATGCATCCATAGCTCTCCCCCACTCTATTGATCTCTTTTATTAGCAGCCATTCATAGATTTCATTCGCAGACATTAGGGCTGGAAGGGACCTCGGAAGATCATCGAGTCCAGCCCCCCGCCCGAAGGGCAGGAAGTCAGCAGGGGTCATAGGATCCCAGCAAGATAAGCATCTTGACCATAAGTCAGGAAGGGAAGGGAAATGATTTGGGTCCTATGTTATAAAGCATCTTACTGAGGAACACAGGCTAATGCCCTGTGCAAACTGCTGTGAGTCAGGCACTCCTTAGCACTCATGCTTTATTTCTCACCTCCCATACGGCACCTCCTTTCTCTGCTCTCAACATAGGGTGTAGGATGTAAGGTGCAGCCCCAGGGTGCAGCATGGGCTGGGGCTGCTCAGTGCTTTAAGAATGACAACCCCAAAGCGGGCTCCAGAGACTCTGCCAACCTGCAGCAGTGGGCACTCAAAAGGAGCGGGCACAAGAAACAGAAAATAAGGGGCCCCATCAAGTCTAAGCTTGCCCAAAGCACTCATGACTCACTTGAGAAGGGCAATAGCACAATATTGTCCCACCGCATCCATTCCCTTTCCTCTCTGCACGTCAACTGGCCTTTTACTTCTCAAGTTCTCAGGACGGGAGGTGTTTAAACACCCTGGGAAAGCATAGAGCCTTCAAGAGGTATTTCACATGCGGGACTGTTGGGAGTCACTCTGCTGGGTCTTCCCAGCACATGCAAGTGAATGGATCCAAGTTCTCCAATGGGTTTCTCTCTCCATTTGAATACTCCTCTGCACTGGATCGTTCTTAAAACCAGTTTCCTCAAGCTGGGACATGCTTGATGCCTGTTATTCATTATCAAGAAAAGCCCCAGCACAGGTGAAATGGGGAGAGTTTTGCTTCTGAAGCTCTCTCAGTAAACAGCCCAATCTGAATACTTTTTGCAGAGCCTAACACAGCTGCTGCTGTTTAGCAGGCTAGAAACCTCACCCATGAGCCAACAGGAATACAAGCTGGAAGAAGACAGTGGATCCTCTTCTCCACGCACTGCCTTTGGTGGAGATTTGGAGTGCAACTGGTCTGCAGTGCAAATGTGGAATTTCTTGTTCATGGGAAATTATTCTGATCTACAAATAATCCCAATTTTTTTTTCAGTTTCTTCAGAAATAGAATTTCCACAAAAAGTCAATTGCTCTTTTCCTTAACATTTTTTAAAGTTGGCTTTGAGATTTATTTTTAAAATTATTTCGCTTCCTCTTTACATTATACCGGAGGTTACAGAAGTCATCCTAATGTCATGACTGACATGTCAGACTATGGCAGTCCCACTTTAAATGTTAAATCTTTTCACAATTGAAGATTTAATAAAAAATACCTGCTACTTAATACAGATGAACATACCTTCTTTTATTGATGAGACCAAAGTGTTTCCAGTTCCCATGTCAATAAAGAAATGGAGAAATCAATTTAAAAAATGAAATGCTTTCTATGATTTTGGATGTCATGTGATGCCATGACAGGAGTATACATTAGGTACTGTTATTGCTGAAATATTACTTAATAGTCTATAAATAATTAAACTAATCTACACATTTTCCCTGCCAATCAACATTAGTCAGCAGGATTCAAGCTAGCAAGAGAGCAAACAGCTGCTCCCACTGACACCCAGGCCCCTTGGTGCTTCCCAGTAGATGGACAGTCCCTCTTGAGGGATGGCTGTGGTCCCTTGAGGTTCATCTTATGTAAAGCCTCTGGTTATACTGCATGGAGGCACAAAGAAGTAGCCTGCTGTGTCATCCAGTGAGCTTCACCACCCATGACTTGCCAGAAGATGGAATCAGAGATGGGCCCATGGGGGATGTTTCAGACACAACTAAATGATTTGGATGCCTCAGCCCTATCTGCAAAAAGGGCTTATCGTGCATAGGAGCTTAGTGGTCTTTGAAAGTCCATGGGACTTTGGCTCCTAAGCTGAGCGGTTAGTTTGGAGAAGAGAGCCCAAGGCCCGCCAAACACTTGGTGCTCTGGAAAGTCCTGCCCTCTGTCACCATCCAGGTTCTATACATGGCCAAAGCCTTTGAAAACCTGAGCCGGGAAAGAGACCCAAGTATTGCACTTGAGGCCTAAGTACATCAGTTCTGAAACGGGAGAGGTTTTTGATCCAGTTTTCATATCCCTGGCTTGGCAGCGGGGTTATGAGATGGTCTCATCCACTTCCAGGGAAGGATACAGAGGTAAGAGAGCTGCTCACATGATTATTATTTTCAAAGGAACATAAATAATTTGCCTTCTCATTCATCTGGAGTTGCGGATCTCAGACAGCATAGAAATCTGGCGACCCACAAGATTCCCACAGGGCTTCCCAGTGAAGGCAGTAACATCCCATCCAACTTGGAGTCCTGCAAGTGTGATAGGCCACATACTCCTACCGACAGCACCAGAGACAATGAATAAGTACAAATGAAAATGAGTTGGACCTCAGCTTCACCTTCAGCATTCAAGATAACATTGCAACAGCCGGCCCTTCCCTGGAACATGCTGAGGCCGGCTACAAGCACCATCCAATCACCAGGTCTGAAACTCCCAGACTCCCTGGACATTTTCCAGGCTGGAAGGGACAGCTCAGCTCTGCTTTCCTAATGGAGATGCTTTGAGCTCCATGTGTTTCACTCTGCACAGGGCTGGAGATGCCCTTTTTTACTGAAATATTAACATGAAGGTCCTGCCGGGTCAGCACAAGCCTTAGAGGCTTCACAGTAAACATCTGTTCTGTGGTTCCTTAAGAAAAAACACCCCTCCTTTCCTTTGAGGAGCATCTTTCTCCCCCTACCTTTAAAGTCCAGCAGTGGCCCCATTATAGTAGCAAGTGGTGTCAATTATTCCTTATAACACATGAAATGTTGTAGGGCGGGGGCCGGCAACCTATGGCATGTAAAGCCATTGGATCTGGCCTGCAGATCAGGCCTTTGGTGGTCATCTGCTGGTGGAGGCTTTTCCCTTGCTGTAGCAGGGAGAAGTGGCCGCAGCCAGATCTTAGCACCAGCCTGCCTTGGAGGCAATCTGGGTCATGCTGGCCCACAGCCACAAAAGGTGACCTTAGTTCTAGGTCATCACTTTTAAACAGGAAAGAAGCTTCTGTTTCCTCAAAGCCACCCAATGCATCATACGTACTAAATGATACCTTGCCAAGTTTAGGAATGAGACCTTATCTCGTTGCGGCATGGCTTTCTGTTGCAACCACCCCCACTCCTGGCTTTGGGTCAATTTAGTTTTTCACTATAAATATCCAGCGGTTGCCTTTGTAGAGCCATGTGGAAGTTTGTGTGCCTCACTTTGCTCCTGGGCCACGGTAAGTCTTTCACGTGTAGTCTTCAGGCACGTCTACATGTGCAATTAATGGGCAGCAACAAACTCTCATGCATACCATAGCATGTTGAGCTGGGTCAGAGCAGACCCACTGGCAGGGGGACCAGGGGTTCAACCCAGCTCAACGTGCTGTGGAGGGGCTGGCTGGGGCACGAGTGTGCTTCAATGTGGGGCTAGCCAGCAACCAGCCCCCAAACTGGAACAGCCTTGTGCCCCAGCCAACCCCATCACTATCTACATGTGTGTTGCTGCGGAATAAAAAACTCCACCGCAGATTAGCTCTTGTGTTTACAAGTAATAACCTACAGCGGAGTTAATTCGTTTACTCCATCCTAATAGCACTGCATGTGTAAACGCTGAGACATTTACTGTGGACCAAATTAGGCAACTCCACAGTGAATGTCTCATGTAGATGAGCCCTCAGTGCTTTTTGGAAGAGGAGCTTTCCAAATGCAGAAGACAGGCCATATGGAGGGTGCCAGGGAAAGTAAAGGCAGTAACCTCCAGCCTCTGGACCTATCTGCATTTGGAGTACAGGCAGCTGCAGTGCAAGCTTCCTGGCAACCGGGCTCAGGCTCCATGGTCTTTTCAGGACTCGGCTTCTCCAGACGGATTC